TGATTCTATGATAAAGCTATTGTAGGGTAAGATGAGAATATTATTTCTTGTAGATAGAGTAATTTACTTTGCTGCAATGTAATGTGCATTTTTTACCTCAAACCAAGTGTAGCTAGGTGTTATTTACCTGTAACTGTAAAGCACTTTCTCTTGTGTTTAAGATACCAGGTGCATGAACACAAAGCTACCATTTTATTTCAAGATTAATAAAGGAAACTTGTCTTGGACAGGAATAAGTTTTGCAAAACATGATTTGCAAATTATGACCAGAGAGAAAGCTACTAAAATCTATCAAAATAGTACTATAATGAATGTAAAGCATAAATTACTTTGCAAAAGAAGTCGTAAGAGTACAGTAAATGTTTTTGCTTGAGTGCTTTTGAAAGTGAAGTACAATTATACTTCTCTTTACACAGGTTTTTATAGAAGTATCATTTGATATCTTCATTCTTATATCTGTGGTTACTATGTAATGTGTCTTATGTATTACACCATGTATCATTTTTGTATGTGAAAAAAACAAGACAGGCTCTTTATTTCTTAAGCTATTCATACTGCAAGTAACTAGAATTACAATGTCCTAATTATTTGTATACTTAGATAACTATGCAACCCTCTCGCGATTAATTGATCTGTTAAGAAGAGCTGGGAAACTAGAAGAAGTCCCAAGATTTCTTTTAATGGCTGAAAAACATTCTACAAGAACAAAGCTTGAACCAGGATTTCACTACTGCAAAGGACTGTATCTTTGGTACTTGCAATTATAATTAAGATAAGGCTTATTTGATTATGTAGTACATATTTAAATTAACTTTCTTGTCATTCATTATCATTAAAAGGTGCTACATATAGCGTGATAAGTAATATAGCACTACTTTCCTAATTACTTAAGGTGCTAGGATTTTAGGAAAGGTCTCCTTTTCTCTTCTGAAATACTTTCCAATGAGCTCCTCTTTAAAATGCAGCTATTTTATCTGTCTCACGTACATCATTCATATTTCCTGCTTCTTAAAAGTGATATCCTCACTGTTTCAATAACATAATATTGCCTACTTTCAAATTTTAGAATTTATCAGACTGTTTTTAGTCTGCAAAAACAAGTTCCTTGCAATAGTATGCATGCTGTTCAAACTCTGCATAATCAATGTGTGCAAATGTGTTATCTGTTTTTAAATACTTGGGCTTCTTCTTGGGATTTGGGTGGGATTTGGGGCAGTGAATTTTACTTGCCCAGCTTTAAATATTTTAATCATCTGTCTAGGTATACAGGTGAACCAAATGATGCACTCCGACATTTTAATAAAGCTCGAAAGGACAGTGACTGGGGACAGAATGCAGTCTACAACATGATTGAAATTTGCTTGAACCCAGATAATGAAACTGTGGGTGGTGAAGTCTTTGAAAATCTGGATGCTGACACGGGGTAAGTGAATGAAATAAATATTGCTTGGGTTCTTTTGTCATCCCCTTCCTCTGATACCCCTTAATGATGTGCCTTAATTTAAATTGCTAGAACTTGGAGCTTATCAAGTGCTTTGAATGTTCTGTTTAGTATATTGAGAGGGACTATCCTAGACTGTAACAAGTCAGTCTCAAGCAGAAAATATAAGAGATTTTATCTGGAATCCTAGTCACTTACAGTATTAAAAACAGCTTGTTAGGTTGGAACTGTTGTTGTTACAGAACAGAATCAATGTAGAATGCCTATATAACAGAACATCTTGTACAAAATGGTATGTCTTAGCATGGAATCGGTACTAACTCATAATTAATTTGGTGTATATTTTAAAAAATAAGCTTTTACAAACACATTCTTTCTGATAACAGTAATTCAACAGAGAAGCAGGAGTCTGTGCAGTTGGCTGTAAGAACAGCAGAAAATCTTCTGAAGGAACTCAAGCCTCAGACCATTCAGGGTCACATTCAACTGCAAATCATGGAAAATTATTGTCTCATGGCAACCAAACAAAAATCAAGTGTTGAACGAGCACTGAACACTTTCACTGAAATAGTAGTGGCTGAGGTTAGTAATCTGTCTCATTTCCTCAGTCTTCTTTTTCACACTTACAACTTTTTTTTAACTAGTCTCACAGTTTACATTCAGGAATAGTGTCATGTGTTAGTGCTGTTTGTTCTAAGGATTTTTTTTTCCTATTAAAGAGTATCTTATATAAAATTTTAAAAAAAAAAACAACAAAAACCATGCTGAAATAACATCTTTTAGAAGTTTTCAATTGGATTACAAATTTATAACTCTATTAAATGCTAATATTGCTGGTTACTGAAATGTGAATAGGCTATTTGGTTTGAGTTGTTGGGTTTGCTTTTTAATTCCCAGCAGTGTGTCTGATGATATGTCTATACAGTACCTTAATTCTGTAAGTGAAAACAATTAAATGCAAGCTGTCTTCATGCACTTCATGGCAATTTGACAGAATTTAGATTCCAGGGCAAGGTGATCCATCTGCTTAACATTCATCCTTATGATGGAAATCTTCATTATTTTGTAGCTACTTGTGGTCATTAACTTTAGGATTAATACCGGATACTCTTGTTACCAGCACCTTTCAAGTGTTTTTATTTAATACATGTAGACACATTTAGTCCATCAGAATGCCAAGAAATACTTAAGTTACTACTACCTATTAACTGTGTGCTAAAGTGGTCCTTGGCTGAGCTGAGCATATTGATGCTTATCTTGTGTGTAAGGCAGTTCTGAGAATCACAAACAAGGTGTCCCTCTGCCTCCAGTACTGGCTTCGCAGTCCTGCTCAGAATTGAACTGAGGTCCTGTGAATATTGAATGTTTTTCATGTGTTGACACAGTTCCAGCAGCAAAAATGCCCCCACCTATTTAAACTTCTCTCCAGGGTTGCATAAAATATACAGTTTTAATCTCTTTAGACTTTAGAGATTATTGATCCATGTTAGGTGTGACTATTGAGGGAGAGATCAGCTGATCATTATGTGGAAGAGGGGCTTTTGGTGAGGTAACTTTAAATTTTTTTTTTAACCCACTATGGCAAGCCTGCTTACAGCACAACCCTACAAAGAGATACAGTGTTCTTAGTGCTTGCTTGAGGATCTTGCATAGGATGGTGGCTTTTAAAAATCCTGTTTGTTATACATAGCTTTTGGATACAGGCAGTTTAGACTGGCATTTTTAGGAGTTGTACAGCTAATAATAGGAATTGGTGTCCCTGTTACTGTTATTTGACAGGCACTTCTAAAAGTAGAAAACACCACTTGTATGGTAACTTCAAGTGAGTTCAGTTTCTATCTGAAGTATTTATTTGTGTATCAAGAGGACGGATCTTAGTGGTATCAGAATGTTTCTTGTTGAGATGAAATACCTGTGGATGCTTTCAATGTTTCTTGAACCTGAAGAAGATTTGTTTTGAGCCCAAACTTATATTCAGCCTCTTAATTATTTCACATGGTGTTTATCATGATTAGTCTTACAGAAGTCATCATAGCACTAGATGGAGAATGTTAGTAAGATTGTATGTTCTATCTTTGTTTCCTGAGATTTAGCTTTCGTTTAGTTTTCAGATACCTGGTGAAAGTCTTACTTAAAAAAAAAAAAAAAGTTAAAAGCAAAATAAAAAAGCACCAAGCAATCATTATGCTTTTTACTGCAGAAGGATCATATACCAGCACTTTTGGGAATGGCCACAGCCTACATGATCTTGAAACAGACTCCACGAGCCAGAAATCAGTTAAAACGAATTTCAAAAATGAGCTGGAATCCCATTGATGCAGAGGAGTTTGAAAAGAGTTGGCTTCTGCTTGCAGATATATATATTCAATCTGCAAAATATGATATGGCAGGTGAATTATTAAAACGATGCCTCCGTCATAACAGGGTAAGTGAATGCACATTAACAGCAGCCTTTGTAACAACCTATTTTAATTCATCTGAATGTTTAGTTTTCCTCTGAAACATGACTGTGAAATGTATTTCTTTTTCCAATTGCCTGATATTTCACTTATTAAGGAGAAGGAGACCAAAACAAGCCAGGAAACCAGCAACTTTACACTGAAGGGTAGTAAAGAAACCTGTGAATGCTGCTGAGTCCTTTTTATTCGTATTCTATAATAACTTATGCAAGTTTTAGTTGTGGGGACACTAGAAGTTTAAGGTGTTTATGGAATGTCAGAGATGCATTTTACTAAGTCTTGCAAACTTGATGAAGAAAGATGTAGCCATATAAATTTTGGAGACTTGCTCCGTTTTTTAAGAGATGTTATCTTCATATCTTAAAATATGTTTTTAAACATTTATGTTCATAAGCCTGCTACTATGCAGGTTTGTTTTTTTTTTTAAATTCTATTATTAATCCTCTGCTGTGAAGATACTGTCTGGTAGATTGTCTGGCAACAAGCTCTGATGTTTTTACCTCAGGGTTTCTTAGCAAGCGAACTGCCCAGTACTCTGGTTTGACTACAGGAGCAAGCACAGATCTTAGCTCTCATGCTTATTTTTCATTTTGTCCCTTTTTGCTGGTCACATTTTTCCATCTATACACTTTGCTTTCCCTCACATGAGGCACATCCAGTAGGCTAGTATTTCATAGACACTATGCTGTAGGTTCAGGATAGTGTTTATAGTGCACAGAGTTGGTTTAGAAAAGGACCTGATGCTTTTTATTTCCTTTTCTGAATTCATCAGTATAGAAAAATTCATAAAAGTATCTTGTAATATGGGTTTCTTACTGATTACTCTTCTTTATTTGTAAGTTTTTGTTTTGTTTATCACAAATAAGAGCAGTAGTATATTTTTATCCTCATCTTCCAGGCATTCCCATACTGCTTATCCCAGTATGCTGTGATTTGAAAGTTTTTCATCAGTAGATTTTTGGAAGCCTAATTGGAAATAATGAAGTTAAAGATGGAGTGTAATTTATAGATCAGCATTTATTTGCTCTACTTCTGTAAAAAAGGTGCATATTTTCATCCAAGCTTAATATTTCTTTTGAAAATATTTGAGCTATTGGCAGCATGATAATATAAGCTGTTGACAGTAAGGGCATAAGGTAGTTAGGGTTTTGCTTATTTTTGTAAATTTTTTTCCTGCTTTATGTACTAAAGATAAGATTTCTGTATTAATTACTGTATCTTTTGTACCACCAATGTGTGTGTAACGTAAGCAAAGCTAGTATTTTCATCTAGTGCTTAATAGGTTTTGGAACCTGTTTTTCAGATGCTTGTAACTTGCCACTTGGAGTTATAAAAATTGAATTGTTTAAGGATTGGTGTTCTCTTTAGGGTATTTTTTGTCTGTCTTTAGCTTTAAGTGGAAAATTACAATGTAAAGGTTTTGAAAAATAAGGCTATGAAAATACCTTTTTAAGAAAAAGTGAAACAAACAGTATTTGTGGAAGGTACAATGCTTTCTGGCTGGACTTGAAATGCAGCTGCCATAGGGATATTATTAACTGAGAGGGGTATCTACAGGGCTCTTGGAGGCTCTAAACAGTGTTTGAAGGAGTAGTTGCAGTGTCCTCTGTGATGACCTCTGTACTTGACTTGGGGTAACTTAAGAAGTCACTGTGCAGAATTCCATATAACTGATTTGTATTACGGGTGTTTTAAATCAAGACAATCTTATCATCAGAGTTAGTACAAGTATCACTTATGCTTTACAGTTGTACGTATTTGAAGTATTTAAGCAATTAAACTGTTGGTATTATTATATATAAGCTTACCTAAATACATTTTTAAATGAATATTTATATTTTGCAGTCATGCTGCAAGGCTTACGAATACATGGGATACATAATGGAAAAGGAACAAGCGTATAAGGATGCAGCAATAAATTATGAGATGGCCTGGAAATACGGAAACCAAGTGAATCCAACAATAGGCATGTATAGATAAATCTACATGTGTGATTTTTCAGGCACTACAGTAGGAACGAAACAGCTACCCTTTACTGGAAAGACTATTTTTCATTTTTCCTAGAGAGAGTATTACTGTCTTTCCTCACATGAAAACCACAGATGTTTCAAGGTGTACTTACTTAACAGTCACTTGGAAAGCCCCTGTGGCAAAAGGTAGCAGCTTTATGATACTTCAGAAATTTCTGCTTACTGTTTTTGTACTGTTCAGACAGACAACTGGTCTGAAAGAGTTTTAGTTTGCTCATTGTGAACAACTTTCTCTGCAAGTTCAGCATTAATTTTTAATAATGTATTTATAGTAATGCAGTAGGTACTGTCTGTAGTAGACAACCTTTCATAATACCCAGTATGTATCTGATGGTGGCAGATCATTGGTATAATTATTTCATTTTGATAATCAGTCAAATTATCTATTTACATGGATAAGGTTCTACATACATGAGTAAGGATTTTAAAAATAAATTATTTAAATGTCTTTAAATATAGCTGGTTTAAAAAAGGTGGTTAACGGAAAACTTGGGATGTTATTCAAGTTCCAATTTGGATGGTTAATTGAAGTCTACACTAAACTGTCATATTTTTAGACTATTTTAATGTAGGAAACCCTGCTTGAAACAAATACATAAGATAAAATGCTGTTTCTTAGCACCTGGAGTCTGACTTTAGGTCCCAAGGCTGGTGGTTTACAGAAATTCTGTTTCAGGTTTTAGGCTATGCTTATGGCCCCTCAAAAACACGTACTTCTTGCAGCCTTTAGTCTGTGGTCTTTTTTTTGTGCCCTAGGTTGTTTTAGTGTTAGGGTGAGATAGCCTTTGCATCAACTGGAAAACTAGTGTTTATTAACAAAATTGTAACTGTTAGGCATATGAACGTCCATCCACTTTGTTTCTTTAACTGTAACTCCTGGATGCTGCAGTGGTTTGGCTCATGATTGTATCTAATATGATCTGTAGATTAAAGTAGTGTTTTGTTAATAGAACTAAATGTTTTGTCATTTAGCTCCTGCTTTTATAACCCAGATAAAGATATAAAAATGCACATGCATGGATGGATTGCCAAAACTAGATGTTAACCTACATATGTGAGTCAAAAAATTAGGAGGGTCAAAGCGGAAAGAAGACTCAGATGTCAAAACAGAAATAAAAATGACTGATAGAAATCTGACTTAGGTTATACGGTAAAATCTCTAGATATCCAAGTATGAGTTTGGATGCAGTAATTTTACTAGTTGTTCCTGCTCTTGTAGACTGACCCATTAAAATCTTGTCTAAGGTATTACAGTTGTAGATCAAATAAAACGTATTAGAAAGAAGTTTTGATAGTAAGAAGGTGTGATTTCTTGAGTTTGTAGAGAACATAGATCAAGACTTTTCTTTTGCTGTTTTGAAACCCTCTAGAGGGTAGGAATTGAACAAATTACAAAATCATTTGGTGTCTAGACAGGAGAATGCCTTAGTGAAATTGAACTGTGGAATGATCTTGCATACAGAAAGTGAGAGTATGATATTGAAAGTACTGTGTGCACATTGTTTTTTAGTTCTGCATACACATTGTGAGAGTTGTCATGCATTAAAACTAAAGTAGTTAAAGCAGCACAAAGTGCACCTGGCAAGTAAAGCTGTATAAACTGGTATTGGATCCCTTGTACTCATTTGCTAGTGAGAATAAGTTCATAAATGAAAGATTTAAAATTTCAGATTTTGGAAGTTGCATGCTTATAACCATTTTTCTCCTGATCTCTGTCCAGGCTGATATACTTGAGCTATAACTTTTGTGTTGAAAGTATCATCCTGACATGTTGCTATGCGACTTAGCTATTCCATGTGACATTTTTCTTTATCAGTGGTCTGCTGACAATGGAAGAGAATAGCATTTTAATCCCCTGTTTGTTATTGCTATTCTGACTTTTTTTTTTTTATTATTCTTTTGTCCTTTAATAATGGAATTGCTTTTGCAGAGCAATTGTGCAGGACAGTGTATTGTAGCTCACAGTGAGAAACTCTGTGGAGTAACATAGTAATTGCAAGAGGACAAACATTATGTATTCTCTGTAGTAACACATGCTCTCCAGAATAATGTCTCCTTTTGATTCAAACATAGCTATCAGTGTATAAAGGATTTTTATTTATTACTTGAAGTTACTTTCAGTAGAAATTTTGAGCTCTACAGGCTTATACAAGAGAATACTAGAAAGCAACATACTACCTTCAGAAACATATGGTGATCAAAATGAATTTGAATGTGATATTTTCATTATTCAGTGCATAAACTGAAATTGTCAACTTTTTTTCTCCTTTTGCCTACAGGATACAAATTGGCTTTCAATTACCTGAAAGGAAAGAGATATGTTGATGCAATCGATGTTTGTCATAAGGTAGAATTTGTATATGTACTTAATACTCTGTCTACTGTGGCACATTTTACATAATGATCCTTTTTTGTTGTTGTTGAGTTTAAATTTCTAAAATACAGCTTAATGTAAAAAAGATGTCCTATTAATAAGTTTGATTAAGTTAAATATCCTCTACATAATCTGCTGTAGCCTGAGTTCCCTGGACACCAGGTAAACAAGAGATAGAGTTGGCTGGCTATCATATCTGAAAGCACACTCAGATGTCAGCACCTTCTTTTGGCCCTGTGATTGCTACTAGGTAAATCCATACAGAGGTATAACTGAAGTTGTTGATCAAATGTTAATATCAGAAGACACTGTTAGAAAGTAAATTCCAGTATTATTTGTGTATGGTCCAGACATAAATAGAGCAGATGCAGAATAAGAGGAAGGGCTGCTATTACAGAAGCAGAGTGAACATTATGAATTAATAATTATTAGTATTAACAATTAAATAAATTATATTTGCTTTTTTGGAGAGAAATAAAGATAACTAGAAAGGACAAATTGAATTGAAGAATAAGGAAGAGGAGGAAATTGAAGGACAAGAAGATGAAGTGGGTAGAGTATCATAAGAGTGAGCCTGAGGGATTGAAAACATAAGAGCAGTTTATCAGAGAAAGTATACTTAAAACCTTGGAAATGTCTCCAGAGGTCACAGTTCTGAATGCATACGTTTCAAGCCACTCAGAGGCTTTAGCTCTTGACTCCTGTGTCTTTTGCACCAAAGTGACAAGGCAGCGTGAAAGGAAGGTGAAGTGTCTTTGATAAAGCTGGTTTTGACCTCCATACATGGTAGTGTCTAACCACAGTTAAATATTTTTGCATTCTTAAAACAAACTTGTCATGTTGTTATTTTAGTTTTAGAATGTGTAAGCTCAGTGATGAGGGAGATAACCAAACACAGTATCATTTCCTTTTAAATATTATATTTAAACACAGAAATTTTGTGTTGTTTTGCCTTTTGACAGGTCCTTGAAGCACATCCAAACTATCCAAAGATCAGAAAGGAAATACTTGACAAGGCCCGTGCATCACTAAGAACGTGAAATTTGTTTTCTATTAATGGCTCATGGATGTGTTGGTTTAATCTGACTTGGGAAACTATGAATTAAATACTACAGTGACAGAGACCGTATCAGAACAAAAGTATTGCGAATATGATTAACTTAATTACACTAGAGATCTGGATTATTTTCAAGAAAAATCTGCAACCCTGAAAGAAATTGTATTTATTCTCATTCAGGAGAGAATATTGCTTACATGTGCTATGTCAATTGTCATCCAGCATCATTAAAAAAAAAAAAAAAAGTGTACTCAGCGTTATAAAAATGTTTTAAAGCATGTAACTCAGTATTTTATTTTGTCCATTTGTCCAACAGCCTATACTATCTAGGGCAGGTGCATTGCTGAGATGCTGGATTTCAGCTTGTGTAAACTACTAATTCATAATTACAGTGTAATCTTTATTACTACAGGTGAATTTCTAAAGTATTTTTTTTATTTTTACATATATTATAAGTACGCTTTATTTTTTTAATCTTGAAAAAACGTCTATATACATTACTCTCAATTAAACTTACATTTTTTTAAATGAAAATCAAATATTTAAAATTAAGACCTTATGTAAATATCCAGTAAAGGCTGTTATAGATCATGCAAGTCTTGGACAGAATTTATTTTCTACTCATGCTGTCTATTATCCACTTGTCAGATATCCATGAAGAGAAATGGATTTTTTTTGTTTGTCCATTTTTAATATGTAGTGTTTAATCTTTCAACATTGTATGTGTAGACAGTACAGTCATATGTCAGAAGTTAGCACTCATTTTGTTTAATCCATATAAAACATCTTTTTGGAGAAATCATTTTGATTACAAGAGATTATGACCTTGTCTCACATACAGAATGTACCTGTGGATCTTTAAGGGAGCAATAACATGTCATATAGGAATGAGAGGAAGGAGAAGGACTGTATTAATCTTATCTAATCTTGTTTATCAGTAACTGGGTGCTGTATCGGGTAATTTTTTAGCCTTGTTTCCTAAATAGATTGACATGCATCATGTACGCAATGATGCTACCTGCTGGTGGTCTCCAGGCTCTGCATTCCAATAACTTCTGAGCTGTTGGTCAGCTAAAGTAAAATTAAGAGATGTGTCTTAGGGCTACAACAATTCTACACGATTTGTGTGAATATTAGAATTGAGAAAAGACCTAAATAAATGCCCTTTCCCTCCCTAGGCAGCACTGAAACTTATGCTGTAGCCTTATCCCTTCTATTTGAGCGCTGGCAATCAGTGTATACATAATTGTACCACGCACACTACAGGCTCTCTTTTTTTTCCCTGCAAGTTGTGCAGTGTGATAGAGCTCTGAGGAAGATGACTTGGGAGACTGGGGAAAAACTGATGGTATGGGATTGGAATAAGGAATGTGGAAGGATCTGGAAAATGCTGAGGGTGAGGGGGAATTATAAGGGAGCTGTGCTGTGGGGGCCTTTTAAAAGAAGAGTGCAAATGAGATATATCTTTGGAGTTCAATTTAAAAACTGGTGGCTATAAGTAGTCCTTCAGGGAAAAATTTGGTTTAATATACTATTCCCAGAAGAAATAAATGGCCTTTCCATTTCCCCATTGGTTTATATAAGCCAATTTAAATTTTCCTGTCCTTTCTAAATCTTTTTTTTTTTACTTTTTCTGCAGAAGGAATGGCTTTGTTTCATTTCTCTTTACTCCAAGTAATTGAAAGTGTTAATTTTGACTTTCCTTCTACTTTTACAGTTTCTTTTTTAAAAAATGCGGGGGGTTTTTTGTTTGTTTTTTTTGGTTTTTTTGGTTAAGACCCTTTCTTAATAAGTGATTTTGAATGGAAGAGACTCCTGGGATGGAGGGGAGTCAGTAATGCTAATTTCAAAGATCTGCAGTCTTCAGTGCGGTGTTGCTTAGCAACCCATCTTCCAGTTCTGCCTTTGGTGAATAAAAGAGGAGAGAGAAGCTGTGGTGTCTATTGATTCATTCACTGCAACTGGAAATCTAAGCATCTTGTAGCTATAACAAGCCATAGTGTCTATTCCTTTCTTCTCTTACCCCCCCTGTAAAAGGGAAAGACTCTCTAAGAGAATGCTTATAGGTAAAATTATATTAATTAATCAAAGTTTTATGGTTAAGATGAAAAATTAGAAACAGGTGCTATGAAATAATAGAATAATAATTCTTATAAACCATGCAACCGTGCTGCTTCTCATTTTTGTTGCAAGTCTTTTTTATTTGATTTGCCCAATTATACTAAATATAGCAATAATCAATATCGACTCCCAGAGTCTTCTAGAATTAATCTCAAAAACTTCTGCTTACGAGGTTTAAAGGTTCCTTTGGGAGGCCACTCATCGTTTGGTCCTCCTCTGATTCTAGTCAGGAACGGCCATTCCTCTTGGCACAACATTGTCTCCTCTTCTGTAATGTCTGTGCCAAGGATATCTTTTTCCAATTTTCCAATACCTCAGCAAGGTGATTCCCCCTTTCAACACTGGGTGTCGTTCCCCTTTTCTTTTACCTTCCTTTCTTTATAGCAAGTTTAAACACGAGAGTCCTCCCAGTATAAACCGGTCTAGAATTACCTGTACCCAAAGCTCTATAGGTCTACTCACCCATTTTGCTGGCAATTTGAGTGTTGGAGATGGGTTTGTCCAGGGGGATATCTGGCTCTTACCTTTCTCTCTTGTGTCCTAGAGTCCCATCTGGGGTGCCAGTTTCTGCTAAAGGAATTTAACTCACTCGGTGTTAGGTGAGTGGCCCAACTCTGAGTTGTAAATAAAGCAAACCTAGACTTACCCACCGACTGAGTTAAATTCCTTTAGCACCCCCTTTTCTCTGCAGGTACAGAATGCCTGGAATATCTTCTAGAAGATATGTAGATGTTTTTTCTAACAATGTACTAAATGATATTTCTGGTTTAATTCCCTACTCCTTTTTCCAGCTTTGTACCAGTGCAAGAAGGAGGACCTAGAAAGTATCATTAGGTAAAATAATCAGTATAATTAGCTATACTAACTAAACTAGCAAGACTTTTCTAGAAAAATAGAGTAGAAGTAATTTGCAGTTTTTTCCCATTTTTGAACTAGCTTTTACTATCACAAGTCATTTCTCAAATGTGTCTATAGCAATTTTTAGAAAGGCTTGTAAATCAGGCAATGCTGGTTTAGTAACCTAAACCTTAATCTTGTTACCCATTAATGAATGAGTAACTTTATAAACATACTAGTTTACACAGAGTTTATAGTGTTAAGAGAATTTGTTGAAGATTTTCTGAACAAATGATCTTTGAAAGTGGTCCAGGGGACATTTCAGGGAATCCTTGATAGTGGGGGTGGATTCTGCCTCTTCGGAAGTTGATCATAAAGAACTCAGTGTTCCCTATGCAATGCTGAACAGGAAAGAGAAGGAAAAGAAATTAAGGAAAAAATTCACTAGCCAATAGTTCTCCATCAGCTTGTGACTATGCCACTTCTAAAAGTAAGATCGGTATTTTTTCAGTTTAGGATTTTCATTTCTGGCTTCATTCACTGTGTGGTTTTACTTTTTTTGGTTTTTTTTCATTTTTTTTTTAAGGAGTCAGTATGCCTCTTAATGCAGGCTTCATTCTGGAAAACAGCAGCTTCTTAAATGTTCACACCAGAAAATTGCTTTACTTGAATACTGTGTTATGAAAAATTAAATGTTGGCTATATATGTGTGTCTCAGGTAATGTAGTACTTGCTACAGCAAGAAATATATTAATAGAAACAGCAGAACATATTAATTGTTACTAATTCTGGTCTAAATCTTCATTAAGTGTTCCTGGGGAAGGTGAATTCAGTCAGAAAATCCTGGTATTAGTCCTGCTGTAGAATGAGTGTAGCTACTGCCAACTCGCCCTGTACTGCTGAGCAGCTGTAGCTGCCTGCAGTTCCGCAAGCTGAAGGAAATCAACTTTGAAGTAGG